GTGGAAATTTCCTGACAGTCTCTTTCTGAGAAAATGTAGACTAGGATGTAACATAAACCTGAGATAGTATTAAAATTTAAATCATAAAAGCTTTATATATTTGAATCAATTCAAATAGCCATAATAATTTTTTTAGCATTTTTATTGTTTGCATTAGTGATACAGAAGGAGATTTCATTGTTGCATTTGCACACATGTTTATAATATATTCCAATCAGTCTCATGTTATCTACCACTCTCCTTTCCTTCCTTTTCCTCTTTCCCCTTTCCCAGAACAATTTCAACTGGTTTTCTTGTTCTATTTTCATAGTTGCAAACAATCTGTTTCAGCCAGGCTTATTCTTTTTTAACAAGTAAGCATTTTAAAATTATTCACCCTCTATTTTTCTTTTTCCCTTTCCCCTTCTCATTTCTTCCCATGTAGTCTCTTAGGTAGATTACTGTTCTGTGTTTATCCACATACATTGTTATGTATATGTTATGTATATGCATGTTCCTATCTATGAATATGTATGTCTTTTCAGTCTGCCCTCCACATATAGTGAAAATATAGTGAAAACACATGATATTTGATTGTTTGAGCTTCTCTTGTCTTGCTCAGTATGATCTACAATTGCATCTACTTTCCTGCAAATAACATGATTTTGTTTTTCTTGGGTCTTTATGACCCAAGATACATATCAGAAACATCCACAGAGCTTTTGTTTTTATTAGAAAAACAGATAGCAAATTGGCCCAATTTGTTGGGCAAAGATTCGTCAGTTAACTCTGATGGACAGGAACATTTAGGAACCCTTTCCCAGTTTGGAGACTTGGAATAACTCTTCATCAAGAGCCAGAAGGGTCCTTTCTGTTAGCTTCATTCCTTTTCCAGTCTGTGAGCTGGGAGGGAAAAAAAAGAAAGTCTATAGTGAAGTTGACAACTGAACCTTGTGCCCTCCCACTTCCTATCAGAGGCAGCCCACACCGCCCTGTTCTTCCCTGTGTGGCGCACACTGGCTCTTTCAACCCATGAATGCCTGAGGCTCTGCTATGCCCTGCTCTGGGCATTTCCTTTGAAACAAAGGCCTCAGTCAGCTGGTGAATGAGAGCAATTTCATTAAGACAATTTCCAGTGAGGGATAAATGGCTAACCTGTGTTGGGGATTTGGTGATCAACAATTGCTAAAATTCCAAGCCACATTGTGATATAAAAATGTTTCAGCCATTTAGTTTTAGAGGTGTGTCTGGGGGTGAGTATTTCTTAGTGCATCATTAGTTAGCCATGCTTAAGCGGCCTTGACCTTGGAATCTGGAGCTATCAGAAAAGACTCATTACTTAACATCTTTTTTTCTCATTTTGTCTCCAGATGAGTTTCCCTGTCTCCATTTTGTGAGTCCTTCTTTACCTCACTTCTGAAACTTTGGGGTAAACTGAAGTCAAACCTACAATCTCCCTCTTCTATCCCTCCTCCTTCCTTCTTTTCTTTCTTACTAATTGAGTACCATTACCACATTCTACATTATGGATAAAAAGTTGGAGTGAGATGTCTCTTGTCTCAGGAAGACTACTGGTCAGACATGGAGTTTCCATCTTGGGTGAGGGATAGAAACACAGAGTGGTACCAAGGGCCCCCAAGAGGAAAACTTGAGCTGGGACGAGAGGAACAAAGACAGTAGAGGAATGTTGGCCTGGCCTAAGTCTTGACACCTAGGGAAAGGTGAGCTAGGCGAAGATGGTGGCAGAGATATTCTAAAGAAAAGGGGGGTACATTCTATTTAAGGACCTGACTCAACAGCCAAGGACCCCAATACCTTAGTATGACTATAGCCACAAGACCCTGGTCAGAGCAGGGAGGAGGGTTTTGTACATCACGTTTGTCATCTGGGTTTTATTCTTATCTCCCCATGAGAACTTCTAAATAAGTGAATACATGCTAGTGATTTAAAAATCAAATGACAGAACTGACGAAGGACAACCATGTCCCGAACTGCCCTTGCTCCTCACCCATGCTCATTGCCTGGGAATAGCTAGGTTTTATTTATTTCTTCTTGGGTCTTTACTCTAGTTATCACCCCCATGCAGACAGAATAACATGTTCCTATCTTCATTTGTTAATCAAATTTAGACATTATCTAGTGAATTTCTACTACTGTAAGGATTTAGAAAACACCGTTCAGTGCCATCTTGCCGGCATTTTAAATCCCCAAAGCACTGAGCAGCAGGAAAAGCATTTAAACAGAGAAACAGCCTAGTGATGTTTGCATTTTAGAAAGATCAGTTCAGAAGCTTAGAGGGGAAGTAGAAAAGGAGAAAGTAGGTGCTACATAAACCATGTGTTAGCCTCCATGTGTTTGCTTTAAGGCATAAGTTTTGTGAATTGAGGGAGAAAAGGGAATTGGGATACTAGACACAAAGGACTTCAGAATCAGTACCCATGATAATTAACTTTGCTGACTATAACCTTGATCGATACCCAAACCTTACTATAAGGACCATAAATCTAGAGAGCTATGTTTTAGCCTTTCAATTTAGACAGAAAATCTTGAATACAATCCCTAAAAGGAAAATAAAAGACTGTAAAAACTTAAAGGGAAAATGTCATTATTGGGTTTAAGATTTATTTCTAAAAGTGCCAGGTGGTTAATCAAAGTTTATCACATTAAGAGACATAAAAATAAAAATCAATCACTGAACAAAGCCCCTTTTCATTGTTAAAGCACTAGTTTTCTTAACTATGCAAAGAGTATCTAGTTTTACCAGTCTAACTAAAATTTAGTCTAACTAAAGTTCCTCTGAAATCAATAGCCAAGTGGTTTCTTTTAAAAGTCCTCAATATTATTATGTTTATGGAAATTTTTATACACATTTTGTTTTTGCTTTTAAAAAAGAACAGTTTATCTTGACAAGTGTTTACTTTGCATTAGTATGATTCACTATTTTCTCTTTCTGAAAATAATATTTTAGCATACATGAGGCAGACAGAAATCCTATTTCAATTAAAATAAAAGCTAATTTATTTTAATTTTACCTTAAAACAATGTTATCAAAATAATAAATGTTTTATGTTTGTCTAAAAATAATCAAGCAAAATTGCTATCAAAGTCTAGAATGTACATTACAGTAAAATGCTATGCTTTATTTATATTTCTCAAAAATGTATGCATTCACTTGTGTGAATTTATTATTTGTTGTTTTATATGAGATAGAAAATAAATAATAGACGCAAAAAGCATAACTAAATCTAGCAGAAATATGCAAATATCAATGGAAAATGGAAGTTTTATTCTTTCTCACCACATGAAAATCCACTTTAAATGGTGTCCAAATTTCATATTAGAGTGTACTCTGGGGAAGAGTGGACAATAAACTTGGTAAAGTATCTATTTTACAGAGGAGTCCTTTCTCAGATTTTTTTCCCCAATCTTCCGTTTTAAAATAATTTAGCATGGAAGCACAGCGGATTTGGATCTTCGCTTACAATCTAGGAATATAAATGTGGACATCATACCATAGACTATACTGCCCTTCCCAATCTTTTGATATAGCATAAATATTTTTATAAATAAAAGTTACTCTAATTTTTTTTAAAGAACGGTTTAAAATTAAAGAACAAAGCAAAACACTATTTCAGGGACAAACAAACCCCTAGGGACAGCCCAGGGAAGTAAGATCCTAGAAAGAGCACAGACCAAAGCTCACAGCTTCTGGATTTGTTAACTTACCTGTTATTTGTACAACTTCCACGTGTAGGAATCTGCTGAGTAAGCAGAAAGGAGCTGGTACAGAGAAAGCATCTGCAGCTGGAGAGTTTGGGAGCCCACCTTGTCCCCAACTTCTCTGTTACTTGAGATTTCACTTTTTTCTATTTTCTTTTTCTCCCACAACAAGTGTCATCCCCTCTTGGGCCTCTAAGGGTACTCTCATCTTCACAGTGCTCCTGATCATCCTTTGCACTATTTTCCCAACATAGGCAACCAAGATATAGAGTTTGAAGAAGAAATATAGGAATTTTGTTCAGGAACAGATAGGGCGTAGATACAGAAGGGCATGCACTTCACCCCACATCCCCACTCCACCCTTGTAGAAGGACAATTCCTTCTACATCTCTGCTTAGGATAGGTAGGGTCACTTTTCTGAGAGCTGAAATCCATTGGTCATCTACAGACTAGTTTCTACTCTATTCATTATTGCCAGTCATAACAAAACTACAAGGAATGTGTGAATGGCTCTTTGTAAAGTCCACCCAAATATATCATCTAATATGAGTTTTGCAATAAGTCTAGGAGGTAAGCATTAGAGTCTTCATTTTACAGATGACAATTCCAAACCAGATTTATGGTCCTTATAGTAAGGTTCAGGTATTGATCCAGGTTATATTCATATTTTTCATGACTGGTTCAAATCTCATTGGAGCTGGCAGGTTCTTGTCTTGTAGTGGAAGCTGAATTCTGAGATAAGTTCACAGTGTCTTCTATCCAGTGTGAGATCCAATGAGTTAGGAAAAGCTGGACTTTCTCCCCTGGATGAAACAATTACAAGGTCCTATAATCTGTTGTTCACTTGGCATTTTTGTTTTGTTTTGTCTTATTGACAAAGTCTTGTCTCAAGCTGGCCCAAAAGTTACTCTGTAGCCCTGGCTATCTTGAACTTGTGGTTATTCTACCCCAGGCTCCCAAATCCTGGGACCACATCTATGAACCATCACACAGGGCATTGATTTTGTTGTTAGTGCTTTCAAATTTGTCCTTACCTGATCAGTTCACACATCATAAATTAGTATCCACAGCACAAACAAGATGTGCTATTGCTAAGATAGTCACTATAATCATTAGTATATAACCTTGGATATGTTGGCTCATATCCTGGTCATAGGTAGCCACAGCGAGGACCAGAGTGAAATGATGGTGATGAGAGGAATCTTCTTCAACTTGGATAGACCTTAGCGGCTATACAAAATTGTCCCAAAGGGTTTGGCTCTCACCAGAAAGCACTTCTTGTCTTGAACTTCCCTCCACAGGAGGCCTATGTGACTTACCAGGATAATATCCGGCTGGTAGGGGAGCTGGTGACCGTCACTGGGGCTGTGATTATCCTGCTCTTAGAGGTGAGGTGCAGGGAAGGGGAACTCCAGGTTAAGTCCATTCATCTGAAATCCCTAGAGCAAATGTAAGACTGATGAGGTTTTTGTTTTATTGCTCTCTCTCCAGATCCCAGACATTTTCAGAGTTGGTGCCTCTCGGTATTTTGGACAGACAGTCCTTGGGGGTCCATTTCATGTCATTATGTGAGTGTCTTCCATGCCCTGCTTTCACTTACTAAAGTTATTCCAGGTGTCCAGTTCATTATCTGAGATCTAGATGACAGGTGACCCTCATTCTAAGGATTTCTCTTCGAGTGGGTTTTTATCTACATATGTATATTTTTGATGTTAGGTTTAGTCCTAACATCAAAGCTTAACATCTAGTACCACTCAAGTGACCACCAAATTTAGAGGGGACCTAAAATATCTACAGGCACATCTCACTCTCTGCTTCCTGCTCCCTCCACAGAATTACTTATGCCTCCCTGGTGCTGGTGACCATGGTGATGAGGCTCACTAATGTGAATGGGGAAGTGGTACCCATCTCCTTGGCCCTGGTGTTGGGCTGGTGCAGTGTTATGTACTTCACTAGAGGATTTCAGATGCTGGGTCCCTTCACCATCATGATCCAGAAGGTCAGTGCTCTGGTTCTTTCTGGCTCAGCCACAGGACTTTGGCAGATGAAGATGGGGACAGGTATGAAGAGAAACTTCTGCTCTGAGTCAAGTGGGTGGAATCATGGAGACTTCCTGATCTGTCAGTAATAGTGGCTCAGAGACAATGGAGAAAGAATCGCCCCAGTCTCCTTTCTTTTCTGTCTCTGGTAGATGATATTTGGAGACTTAATGCGTTTCTGCTGGCTGATGGCTATGGTCATTCTAGGATTTGCCTCAGGTAAGAAGGATTTCTTTTTCTTGGTCATTTGATGTGGAACTTCAGAAAGAACATTTGTCTTTACTCCTGATCGCAGTTCTTATCTACACTACATTTCATCATCCTTGTTGTTTCCTGATGAAAAATTAGTCTAAAATCACACCTTCATCTATAGGTTCAGGACTCAGGTTGGCCTAGAAGATAAACCCATGGATTCTGGGCCACGAACATATATGTTGACTAACTTTTCTGCCAGACCTAAAAAAAACAAAAACAGCTGGAAAAAGTTATTTGGAGAGAGAAGGGGACATTAACAGGAAACAATGGAAAGTCTTTTCTTTAAAAAAAAACAAACACAAAAACCACCCCCCCACACACACTTCCACACATGAAGCTGGGCACCAGTGGTTCATGCCTGCAATTCTAGCTACTCAGGAGGCTGAGATCTGAGAATTTAGGTTCAAAGCTAGCCTGGACAAAAATGTCTATGAGACTCTTATACCAATTAACCAGCAAAAAGCCAGAAGTAGAGCTGTGGCTCAAGTGGAAAGAGTGCTTGCCTTTTGCAAAAATACTAAGGGAGAGTACCCTGAGTTCAGTCCTCAGAACACACAGCAACAACAAAAATCATAAGGCCAAACAGAAACAATGCAATGTGTAACTCTCTTGTGCAAGTATTCACAAAATGTACTCTCATTTTATATGTGGTCATTTAAAGTTGGGGCAAAAGTGAAGATATTTTAAAAGGGGGTATAGACTAACAGGTTGGAAAGACTGAAGCATGGCAGAGCAAACCAAAGGAAGAGCTGGGAGGAAGGGCTGAGAGAATGGGAACACATAGGAACTCACACAGTAGAGCATACCAGACGCCAAGGAAAGAACAGCACCAGAAGAATAAAACAGGGAGAAAGAGCAGAGGAAATCATGAATGAAGAGAAGGAAGGTCTGACAGCTGGGAAAAGAGAGGCCCAAGTCTGAAAAAGACATAGAGCTTTAACTCAATTAGAGATGAGTTTTGAAGATACCCCTAACTCTAAAATACCAAGCCTCTTCAGAGAACTCTATCATTATCTCCAGAAGTTTCTCAGTTCAGGAGTGTTTCCATTATAACCATAGATTTTTTTAAGTACAAGAAGACATAAAGTATAAAGGTAAGGCTGGCAGGCTGTCTAGTGGAGTGGACTATTCTATTCTTCTTCTCAGCTCTTGTGTATCCCTTCTCTCTTCTCCCTACTCCATCTACATATTAAAAAATAGGTCAACTGCTGAGTTCTGGTGGCTCATACCTGTAATCCTAACTAATTGGGAGGCTGAGATCCAAGGATTGCAGTTCAAAGCCAGTCTGGGCAGGAAAGCTGTGAGATTCATCTCATCAATTAACCATCAGAAAACCAGAAGTGAAGCTATAGTTCAAGGTAGTAGAGCACTAGCCTTGAGCAACAGAGCTCAGGGACAGTGCCAAGGCCTGAGTTCAAGCCTCATGATAGAAAGAAAGAAAGAAAGAAAGAAAGAAAGAAAGAAAGAAAGAAAGAAAGAAAGAAAGAAAGAAAGAAAGAAAGAAAGAAAGGAAGGAAGGAAAGGAAGGAAGGAAGAAAGAAAGAAAGAAAGAAAGAAAGAAAAGAAGGAAGGAAGGAAGGAAGAAAGGAAGGAAGGAAGAAAGAAACAAAGAAAGAAAGAAAAAGATTCTTTTTTTGGGGGGGGGCGGTCGTGGGGCCTGAACTCTGGGCCTGGGCGCTGTCCCTCAGCTCTTCAGCTCAAGGCTAGCACTCTACCACTTGAGCCACAGCACCACTTCTGGCTTTTTTCTTTTTGCTTATGTGGTGCTGAGGAATTGAACCCAAGGCCTCATGCATGCAAGTCAAGCACTCTACCACTGAGCCACCTTCCCAGCCCCAAGAAAAAGATTCAAAGCCAGCCTGGACCAACAAATCCTAGAAACTCTTATCTTTAGTTTACCAGCAAAATGCCAGAAATGGACCTGTGGCTCAAGTGGTAGCTTGCCAGCCTTGAGTGAAAAGGCTAATTGAGTCCTAGACGCCCTAAGTTCTAGTCTCGGTACTGGCACCCTTCTTCCCTCACATCCCCCCAAAATAGTGTAATAGTAAGAGAACATTTTCCATAGACTCCCCTAAATGACCCTTATTGGCCACTGAACTTGTGTTTTTTTTTTTTTCTAAAATAAGGAAGCAATTCTTAGTCCTGGATCCAGTTTCTGCTCTTGGATTCTGCTGGTTGACGTTTCAGGACTCTGTATACCCAGAAGCTGACTTAATGGGTTCATATTATAAGATCCAGATACTCAACTACCACTACCCAGTAGGCTCCACACTGAACAGGATTAACTTTGCCATGATGGGTCACGTTCACCTAGGGAATCTCAGAGCGATGAGTGCTTATCGTAAGGCCATCAAGATTAAAAAAAAAAAGTGGCTCTTCTTTTAGCCATATCACGTGCTCTGTTGTTTAAAATTGCTGAAGATTCCATGCATTCTTTTAACAGCTTATCTTTCAAATATTTAGTTTTCTACAAGGTAAGAACCTGTTAGGTAACTTATTAGGCACATACACAAATAATGATTTTTGGTAAATGCTTGAGTATTATCATTATATAGCATAATAAATGTGGGTAGTCATAAGATACCTTAGAGATTGCCAGCTGTACAAATAACTATATTTATATGTGTGTGATTGTATTATGATTGTATTTATATGTGTGTGATTGTATGTGTAAGCATATATATATATATACATCTACACAGATATTGGTATATATGTATACACACATAGATATGTGTGTGTGTGTGTGTATATATATATGCATGCATGCTTCAGAAGTAGAACTAATTCTAACCAGGCCTATGCTTACTGTGATAATTCAATTTATTTCCATATATCTTCTTTCTGGGTGGAGCAGCGTTCTATATCATTTTCCAGACAGAAGACCCAGCCAATCTGGGGGAATTCTCTAACTACCCCACAGCACTGTTCAGCACCTTTGAGCTGTTCCTCACCATTGTCGATGCCCCCGCCAACTACAGTGTGGATCTGCCCTTCATGTACAGCATCACATATGCTGCCTTCGCCATCATCGCCACCCTGCTCATGCTCAACCTGTTCATCGCCATGATGGGTGACACTCACTGGCGAGTGGCCCAGGAGAGGGATGAGCTCTGGAGAGCTCAGGTGAGATTATTAGGGTTAACCTTGCTATGTGGCCAACAATGGAGAGAAAAATCAAAGTGGGCTATGGAAGTCATAGAACAAGCCTGTGGTACTGTCCCCCTCTGTGAGGTGTATATAAACCTATGTGCATGGAAATGGCATACAGTGGAAGATACAAGTTACAAGTGGGTCTTTTCATTCATGTTTCCACAGTTTTTTTTTAGAGCTGGCTATACGCTGAGATGCGTTTAGGAGCTGGGACACAAACACTAGTCAGAAATACACCATTAACAAACTACTTCACAGAAGGCTGCAAAATTACAGAAGTGTCACAGAGAAGTAAGGCATATTTAAAAAGGACACAACTCTCTGGATATCATCTTTATAAAAAAATAATGAGAACTTTTTTTAAGTAAAAAAAAAGGATGCAACTAAGGAATCTAACTTTGAGTTTGAGAGGAGGCTGAGGGCTGGGTAGAGCTGGCAGGTATGATGGTGGAGGTGAGGACTGCTCACTTCTCGTTTATCTGGGAGAATCCACGAACTAACCAGGATGTTGTGCAGCCCAGCCTGCTCTAACCAAAGAATTGAAAATGGTGAAGGCGTGACCTTCTGGATCAAACAAAATGGGAGGCTGACGGTGTCATTAACAAACCCATAAATGTCCCTCTTGAGGAAAAAGAAAAGCAATCCCAGAGGAAAACACAGAATGACTGGAAGTCCTCAATTGGAATTAATCTGATGCAGCTAAGAATCTGAGAGACACAGGAATCAGTGACAGAGAGACTAGAAGGACATGACCCACCAATTTTAAAATGTCTAGCTCTTTCCACTACTAAGGACTCCTGACCTCTTCAGTGCACACCCTGTTCTTGTGCTAACAGACTATGATCCTTTTGAAACTAGAATGGTCTTTGATGATGGGGAGCTGGAAGATACAAAGAGAGGTCATGCCTTCCCTTACTTTGGGCATAACACTACTATCAATAACATTTAAAAATAGAGTCAAGTCTTCAAGCAAATACTTGGCTCTTTCTAAGCTTATGATCAACTAGCACATGACTGAGCCTTAGCTGAGCTCCTTAGACGTAAATGTAGTACCACAAGTTCATGTTACTGACTTAAGAACTGCATTCCAGTTTAGTAAGATCATTTTATATTGCCTTTGTCACTGGGTCTACCATGCATCCCTCCCAGTCTTGTGTCACAGCTATGTTTGATAAGTTTAATTTCTGTGTTAATGATGGCTGGGCAAAGGACAGAACAAGAAGCATGCTACTAGAAACTTCCCTGCCAAGTAGGCAGCTATTTATTAATCAATCCTTTTTCATCTTAAGATATGGATGCTTAATTTTCTGTGAACTCCTTGAACTGGAAACAGCATCATTTCATCCCTGAGATCATACAGATTCTATTTAATCATTTTATTCAAATCAAAATCATTGGTCTGTGCCTTTCTTAGGAAAAAGAAAATGAAATTAGTTCAGAATGATTCATAGTCCATGAGTTGGAATGCTCACATGGAGTCAATGTTTTATTCAAACCATAAAAGGTTCTGTCCTGTGTGTGTGTGTGTGTGATGAAAGAAAAAAGGTTAGTATCCTCCTGACACAGGCTGGGAGTGGATAAATGGTGGTCTCCAGGGTCTTCATTGCACAGATTTCTGCTCTATTTTGGTGAGCTCAGTGTCTCTCTGTACCTCATGTTTCTTTCTGAGACCCTGGGAGACTCTTGTATCCTTCCAGGTTGTGGCCACCACAGTGATGCTGGAGAGGAAGATGCCTCGCTTCCTCTGGCCTCGATCAGGGATCTGTGGGTGTGACTATGGCCTGGGGGACCGCTGGTTCTTAAGGTGAGTGCCAGTGTGTATGTGTGACCTGAGGAGTTGTGTGCATCACAGGAGCAAGAGCCACCAGGGAAGCCGGGCACCAGTGGCTCACGCCTGTAATCCTAACTACTCAGAAAGCTGAGATCTGAGGATCACGGTTCAAAGCCAGCCCAGATAAGAAAGTCTGTGAGACTCTTATCCCCAATAAACCACTAGAAAACCGGAAGTTTCACTGTGGCTCAAGTGGTAGAGTGCTCACCTTGAGCTGAAGAGCTGAGGGATAATACCCAGGCCCAGAGTTCAAGCCCCACAACCGACCAAAAAAAAAAAAAAAGCCACCAGCTGATGATATTAGGAGACTGTGTGAGTCTGTCTAGTAGAAAGAGATGGAGCTGAAACAGAGGGGTTAAAGAGAGTCTCGGTGCAATGGTGGCTATGTGTTGTGATCTTGCTCAGATGAGCGTGTGTTACCCAGTGCGTTTTAGTGTTTTCTACTCATTTCCATTTTACTCTGGTCTTGAGTCTAACTTCCTTCTTGTTATTCTACCCTTAACTCCTGACCTGGCTCTCTCTCTCTCTCCTCAAAGGCGTTTCCTGAATTGCATCTTCTTGAACTTGTGACTCCTTAAGTGACTATTTTTGCTTTCAGATTCCCATAAATCAGTGCCACACACACACATCCTCCAACTCTCCCAAACCAATTGCTCACCACCTTTCCTTGGCTTCCTAGCTGAGCCTCTCCTCCACCTCCTTTTCCTCCCTTGATCAATCCTAGTCCTCTCCTCTGTTCTTAAAATCCTGTTTCCTCCTTGCTCACCTCCTGCTTCTCCCAAAGGCCTGTCTCCCCACAGCTCAACAGAATGCCTTCTGCTTTCTCCTCAATAGAGTCGAGAGCCACCATGACCAGAATCCTTTTCGGATGCTTCGTTATGTGGAAGCCTTCAAATGCCCAGACAAAGAAGATGGACAGGAGCAGCTATCTGAGAAACGGCCCTCTATCGCTGAGAGTGAGATTCTAGCTAGGTCCTCTCTGATCTTCCAAACACCGTCCCTGTCCAGAACTACATCCCAAAGCAGCAGCAGCCATCGGGGTTGGGAGATCCTTCGTCGAAACACCCTGGGACACTTGAATATTGGACTGGACCTTGGTGAGGGGGATGGAGAGGAGATCTATCATTTCTAATGAGGAGTCTGGGTAGGGTAGAAAGGGAGATGTTTGCATATACAGGCATCTAACTCCCATGCTCATTAATGAATCCTGGGAGGGTATATGCAGAATAGTTTCTAAAGGATGCCATCTAACCCTTCACACCAGCATTTCTGGAGAGGTCAATGGCCATCCATTGTTGCACACATTATATGGATTCCTGGAGATCTCACATGTTGGGAGAGAAGTGGTAGCCGGCAACTGAACACACAGGGTAGGGAGACTAGATTAATATCAGGATCATCTGTTCTGCTCCATGTAGGCAACCAGAAAGTAGTATTCTATGAAGACTGTTTAGTTCCATTGGGTTACATGTGGGGAAAGCCAGTGTGACGTAGACATTGTGGTCCTATCCTCTTTTTTTCCCTTCTGTAAGACTCACTCTGCCTAGCAACCAAACCCCAGTTGGAAAATTGCAAGAAGAAAAGCTCTTTCTCCTCGCTTTCTTTAAAATTTCTCTTATTGTGGCAAAATGCACATAATATAAAATTTGCCATTTTAAGCAATTTTAGATGTATAATTTAGTGACAAAAGTACATTCAGACTGCTGTATAACCATCACCACAGATATTTTTCATCATCAAACACTGAAACTTATACCCACTAAACAATAGCTCTCCATCATTCCCTCTCTTCAGTTCATGATTACCAATACTTTCTGTCTGTGAATTGGTCTCCTCTGGGTACCACATAAAAGTGGAATCATGTTCTATTATATCTGCTTTATTTCACTTAACAGAATGGTCTCAAAGTTTCATCGATATGGTAGCAGGTATCAGAATTTTATTTCTTTTCTTAGGCCAAATAGTATTTCATTGTACATACACACACATACACACACACACACCACACACACACACACACACACACACACACACACACACACACACACACACTACAGTTTATCCACTCATTAGTCAGTGGATATTTGTGTTTTCCCCACTTCTTGGTGATTGTAAATAATGAATGTTATTAGGAAAATTGAATGTAAAAATGTCTGTTGAAGTCCCTGCTTCTAATTCTTTAAGTGTACACATTTAAAAATAGAATTTTGGGATCAGAAGGCCATCTATGTTTAATTTGGGGGGGAGCTAACATACTGTTTTCCACAGTATGCCTCACAATTTTACATTATCTCCTGATGGGTGTAAAATGGTATCTCATTGAAATTTTGTTATGGCTTTCCCAAAAGACTAAAGATATTACAAATCTTTTCATACACTTCTTTGTGAAGCATTTATATATCGTTGAAAAACAATGTCTATTTAAGTTCTTTGCCTCATTTTGAATTTGGTTGTTTTATTGTTGTGGTTGTTGGTGAGTTACTTTATCCTTGCTTTTTGAGACTCAGAGTCTGAAGTTTTGCATTGTATGTGCATCCTGATGTGTTTTTATGGGTAAGTGGTAAATCATGCTATCCTTGTCTGAGTGGGCTTTTTCTTCTATAGGTCTTCTCTAACCTTCAAGTTCTCTACAGATAATCATCCTTCTACATCCTTCTACAGTCAAAGGCTCCTGTGTTGTCTCCTGAAACCACCATTCTTGTTCCCCTCTCCACTTGCCCCTAGTCTGAATTGAAAAATGAATAGCAATCATGAAGGACCTGTGATAGGTACAAGGGGACAATGTGGAACCAAATATCCAGGGCTTCCATTACAGAAACTCATGTATAGTCTGTCTCTTATCCTCAGCCCTCATATCCTCAACTCTATGTGATTGCATTCCTTTTATGACCGCCAACAACAACCAAAACACAGCTACTTTAATGAAGATGGTTGTTTGATAAACCAAAGAAGGATTTAGGCAACCTCCAACAGATTCATTGAGCTACACAAACGTTGAGCCCAACAGTGAGAGACCGCATGAACTCATATGCATAGCCACGCACATGCACTGTCATACACGGTACACACAGGAGGCATGGGTTATGAGTGCTGAGTCATCATAAGTCATCGTGATTCTGTTTTCATCTCTCCCACACTTCCACACCCAGGTAAAGCTAAACTCCAATTTGTGTTCCCCATCCCATTCTCTCTCTGGCTTGTGCCCAGAACTGTCTCCTCTGAGCTTTCTCACTTGGCCAGCCCTCTTCCACCAACTCCATCAGCAAATCCGTGTTTCAGCCTTTAAATACTCTCCCTTAACCCCGCCTCTCTTTTCAATGACTGCCCTTTTTTATTCCCTGTTCAAGGCCAGACTTGAAGAGTAGACCCCATTGCCTAGTGGCTTTCCATGGATTCCTTAACCAATTGTGATTTGACCTGATCCAAGTTACTGATCCACTCTTGCTTGAGTTATCTTCCTGAAGTTTAACCCATAAACCATTGAACCATAACAGTTTTGCTTGAACTGTCTGTCACATTGTGATTACAGTTGATCACTTCTCACAGTCCTCCTACTCTTCTGTTCTACCACTCCCTTAAATACTTTCATCCATAGGGTACTCTGTCTCTTTCCCTCTCTCTCTGTCTCTCTCTCTCTCTGACTCTCTCTTTCTGTCTCTCTCCCTCCCACTCTCTCTCTGTCTCTCTCTCTGACTCTCTCTCTCTCCCCCACTTGGGCAGTCCCACCTGCTGCTTTACAGGGTTACCACATAGCAGCTCGTGATTGTCAAGTTTGTATCTTCAGTTTGAGATCTGCCCCCTGAATAGCTTGGATGTCCCTCTATTAGACCACTCGGACTGTTTGTAGCCACCTCAACTTTACATCAAGCATCTCTTCTTCCTCAATAAATCTGCTCTTCTACCGGTGTGCTCAATCACATATCGACAACATACAGACAAAGTTGTCCAAACCAGAATCCTAAGTGTCACCCTCAGTATGTCTGCCTTCTTTTTATAGCCATCAAGTCTCAAGTCTTGTGGATATTCTTTTCCTTAACACACCTTCAAAAAATAATTTTGATTAGGCAAGAAAATAAGTTGTCCTGCCTCTGCCCTAGCCCCTCAGGTGTTTTCCCTAAGGAGACTCACTATTTAAAGTGTGTTATTTCCCCCTCCAAAACCACATTCAATATATCCCAGCATGTATAATTATTAAAAAATAATATATATATATATATCAGGAAAAAATCTTGCTTTTCCTGATTAAAGTATTTTAAACATTTCTCCATAGCAGTAAAAAACAGAGTTGAGCGTGTTAACACATGCCTGTAATCCTCGTACTCAGAATCTTGAATCATATTCAAGATCAGCCTGGGCTACATAACAAGTCTGGTGTAGGCCAGACCTTATCTCAAAAAAAAAAACAACAAAACAGGACAACAACAAAGACCTCCTATTTGTTCCTCCCTCTCCAAACACTGTTTCCATTCTCCTAAAATGGACCACCATCACCCTTCGAGATATTATAGGACTATTTTTCCAACTGCTGACTTTGCATGATTTCTTGTTTTTCTCCGATCCAAAGTTCACAGTACAGATGTAACCATCTTTATAACATGTAACCCCTGCCTCAAACTATGATCCTTGGGACAGTCTGTCCTAAGAAGTCTCCTGGAAACCTAGTCAGACATCGCTCTCTCTTCCTGTACCAAGATGAGCTATTTTTAGTCTCTGGGTAGTAATTCTTCCTCTTTTTTTTTTTTTTTTAAGGGAGGAGAGGCTGGTAATGAGGCTTGAATTCTGGGGCCTTGTGCTCTCTCTTGCCTTTTTTCTCTTCAGGCATATGCTTTTCCACTTGAGCCACCCCTCAACTTCCAGCATTTTGGCACTTAATTAGAGAGAAGAGTATAATAGACTTTCTTGCCTGGACTGTCTTTGAACTGTGATCCTCAGATCTCAGCTGTCTGAGTAGCTAGGATTACCAGTGTGCAGATGTAGTTCTTCTTTTTGACTCATGATTTATGGGTCTTCCTCCTCTGCTGTGCCCATTCCCTCATTCATCTTTGTGACTGTCCATCTTATTGGTATTGGCTGAAAAATTAGACATGTGTTCCGTGTGTGTGTGTGTGTGTGTATGAGCACACATGTGTGCTCATGCATACATGCAATTATTGTAGGTGATAGTCACTGACACATAGTCTATGTTTCTAGATCATTTGTACTGTCTTTTGTGTTAAATGACTTGAAATGTATTGTCCTTATTGGTTTAAATGTCTGTTTTCGTTAGTAGACTGTTAGCCTCCCCAAAGACAAAATGGTGCCTGTCTTATTCTCTATTGTATTCCCATAACCTGGCATAGTTCCTGGTACCATGTATTGTGAAATAAATGTTCATTCACTGAATTTATGAATGGTTGATGAATGTTTTGAGTTTAAGCTCTCTTACTGGTTGTACATGAACTTTGGCTTTGTTTCTAATTTTTGTTTATGTTTTATTTGGTTTTCTTTTTTTTATTTTTTTTTGGGTCCGGTCATGGGGCCTGAACTCTGGGCCTGGGCACTGTCCTTCAGCTCTTCAGCTCAAAGCTAACGCTCTACCACTTGAGCCACAGTGCCACTTCCGGCTTTTTTCTTTTTGCTTATGTGGTGCTGAGGAATCGAACCCAGGGCCTTGAGCATGCAAGGCAAGTGCTCTACCACTGAGCCACCTTCCCAGCCCTTGGTTTTCTTTTAAAAGAACTAACAATATGTATGTTTGGGTGGGGTTGTGTTAATTGAAGATGAACACATGAGTAGAAGCACTTTGGAAGGCAGCTATACCAACCACTATACCACCAATGCCTGCCCAGTAGAAGCACTTTGGAAAGAATAAGAAACCAATATTAACCTAGGGCAAGGGGCTCAAAATGTACTCTGAGCTACTTAGGAGGCTGAGACCCAGAAGATCAGAAGATCAAGGTTCCAGGCCAACCCAAGCAGAAAAAAAGTGCACAATATTCCATTTTCAATAAGCAAGCAAAATGCCAGACATGGCTCAAGTGGTAGAGTATCAGCCATTCACACTAAATGAGAGTTCAAGGCCCTATGTTGGAAAATTTTTGCAGCTTAAATATACTTCTCTGTGTGTGTATGTGTGTGTGTGTGATAGAGAGAGACAGAGATAGAGAGAAAGGGAGACAAAGTGAGAGAGAATGAGATTTACCTTGGGAAGTAAGAAGGACAAGAAAGAGTCAGACAGACAGATAGACAGACCAACAGAGACAGAGATAGGAGAGGAAGCAGAAGAGAGGATACACAGACATGAACAGAGACAGAGGAAAGGAGGAGGAGGGAGTAAAAAAGAAGAACTAAGAGGAGGAGGAGGAGGAAGAGAAGAAGGAAGAGGAGGAAGAGAGGATAGGAAGTAGAGGGAGCGAATAGAGGAAGGAGGAGAGGGAGGAACCGAGGTGAGGAATAGGAAGCTCTGGGCAGAGCTCCCTGGGTTGATTCACTAGTGTAGTCAGGGACATGGAGAGGAACTCCACATCTGCCATCAAGAGCCCAAGAGGAAGGAAAGGGAATCACTCAAAGACTTCCCAGCAGCATACCACAGATGTGGCACTTTACTACATGCTGAAGAGTGAAAGCACAGAGTGGCTATTCCTGTCCTGCTGGCCTGCCAGAGAGAGTGACAAGGAATAGATAAGATATATACCTATAACTCCTCTGTTAGAAAGAATGATACTGCATCATTTGCAAAGAAAGGGAAGGACCTGGAAAAAAAATGCGCTAAGTGAAGTAATTCAGAGGGACAGAGGTGGTGTATTTTCTCTCATTTGTGGACACTAGATTCAGTTTATACATATGTAAGTAAATACCTTGAGTGGTCTACAAGTGTAGACAAATGTATGAACTGAAATATGGTAGATCCAGAGAGAAATCAAATGGTATAATTCCTCTAGAAGGCTCAATTACAGGTCAACCAAACACCAGGAAGTGGTTACTTGGAAGGGATGGAGTAGAGCCAAGGGGAGGTAGGTAGACAAATGAAGAGAAGAGGGAAGCATGCAGTAAAAAGTTCAATGTATATACTACAAAATTAAAGAAGAGCATAAGAAGGGTGGATTGAGAGGTTGTTGGAAGGGAGGACATTGATCAAGAGTCCCTGTGTTCATAAACTGCTTTGGTGAATGGCAACTCCAAAGTACAATACTTAAAGATAACAATAATACCATTTTTTAGAAAGAAACACTTTTCCAAGTCTAAGTGAAATAAGCCAGACCCAAAGAAACATAGCTTCTGTGGTTTCCCTCATTTGTAATAATTAGTATATGTCTAGGGTAGTCCTAACAGAGGATCACAATAGCTCAATAGCCATGGACATATGACTATATAAAATGATGCTACAAGATATGAAAACAAGAGGGGTTTTTAAAGTTTGTTTTTAATGTACTGTGTGAAG